GCCCCGCCCCGTCCCGCCGCTGCGCACGGCCCGCGGGCGCGCAAGGCAGCCTGGGACTTGTAGTCCCGCGGTCACGGCCGGAGCGGGCGGGAAGCTCGCCCTCGGCGCACCTGCAGCCCGAGGCCCGCAGCACCTGTCCGGGACGCCCTTCCGGGAGGGACGCAAGGAACCCGCCACAGACGGCGGGCGGCCCAGCAGCGGCCACGACCTTGCGAAACTGGCCGTCGCCCGAAAGAGGAAGCGCGAGGAAGGACGGGACCGAGCCAGCCGCAACCACGTGGGCCCAAGGCCAGGGTGCTGAGCGAAATACGCCGGAGGAAGACGCAGCCCGCACGATTTCACCTGTGCGTGGAATCTGGAAGACAGACACACCAACACAGCAGAAACAAGGCCTTCAATGCGAGGAGAAAGTGGACTTTAGCAGAGGGCAGGTGGGGCGGCGGGAGGTCGGGGCCTGCAGAGGCCCGCGAAGCAGGTGCAGCGGGGGGAGCGGGACCTGCCGGGCAGCGACTCTGCCGACCGCTGCGTCAGACACCTGGAACTGATGTGACACCACGTGTCGACTACACATGCACGGAAGGAAAGAAGGTTCTAGCTCTTTCTGCAAGGTCCAAATCAAAGCAGATAGCCCCGGCCTTCCTTCTGCCTGTTCTTACACAGACTCATGAAAGCGGGAAAGCTTAGCTTTCTGGGAGGGACAGGGCACCACAGGAGTCTGCCAACTTCAGACACGCAGGAAGAGTGAGCTCCCACCCGCCCAGCCAGCCAGCCACACACGGGCCCTGCCTCTGCTGCCCCTTGGACACCCCCTCCCTGTGGCCATCAGCCGTCCCTCGGGTGGCCACGCGAGGGTGCCCCCACCTTCGTGTCCCGGTGCTCTTTGAGCACCAAACACACGGTGTGGAGGGTGGGCTCTGGAGCCAGGTGGATGGGATTTGTCTCCGAGCTCTGCCACGCACCACAGCTGTGACCTTGGGCAGGTTATTTGACCTCTCTGAGCCTCAGCCTCTTCATCCGTGGAATGGGGATCATACCACTCATGCCATTGTTCTCATGAGGCTTCCAGGAGCAGTGCTCATGAACGTGCTCGGCACTCGGTCCTTACCAGTCCCGTACAGTTAACACAGATATCCTCCTCAGCCGGCAGCTTCTGAGAGGGGCGATCCAGTGGTGGACCAGCCCCGACCCAGGGGAGGCCTGAGAGCGCCTGCAGGAGTGGGGTGGGCCTCTCTCCTGCAGGAGAGAGGGGACTGAGGTCGATTTGGGCCTCGCCCTGTGGGTGACAGGGGCAGTGACTAATGGGCTTGCAGGGTGAGGCAGCCAGGGTGGGATATGACTGGGAAATCCCGTGGAAAGGGGAACAGCTGGCAGCACTGGATACGTGTAGCCAAAGCTCTGTGCCAGATGCACACAGGAGGCCAGGGAGGAGCAGGGGACAGCCCACTGTCCTCAGCTCTGCCAGCCAGTTGTTCAAAAGTGGGGGTGGCTGAGGCCTGTGGTCCCAGAGGACAGAACTGAGCCCGGGTCCACCTTGCAGAGACCGAGATCTGCTAAGTGTCAGGAAGGCACAGGCCTGAGCCCCCAGCCTGGGCAGACGGGACTGGACAAAGGACCACTACCGTCCCTGTCCCTCCGTGGCTGATGTCTGTGCTTCTCGACAGACAAGCTGGGGCTGCAGCCTGACCCTCCTGCACCAGAGCTGGCTCTCTGTCCCCTGCCACCCCTGGCAGAGGAGGAGGCTGCCTCTGCCGCCGTCTTCCTTGGGCCGGGGCCACACCCCACATCCTATCCAACACGTTAAAATGCCCCAAATCCTATGGTAAACATTGCTCTAAAAATGTTTAAAGGCATTTCTAGAATTATGATCCTGATATTATCTGACTGTGAGGAATTCATTTTAATTTATGTTTGGCTGACAGTTTCTTGGCAATCATCATGTCTGTGTGGGCACCCTGGCCGAGTGAGAGAAATCCAGCCTACGCATTGTTTTCAAAGGGAGTGACATTTCTTTTTAAAGTTTATTTATTTTTAAGTGACCTGTACGCCCAACGTGGGGCTCAAACTCACGACCCCAAGGTCAAGAGTCGCACGCTCTGCTGACTGAGCCAGGCGGGCGCCCCTAAAAGGAGTGACGTTTTTATGATTACTATGACATTGACATAATGTTACACTTGACATCTCATTAAATGCGTATTAATGTAGATTTTGCTTTTTCTCAGGCTTTGGAGCCCGAGTATATCTGTCTTACAGACACCTCGTCGGCCCCTTGAGAGCCGGCAGAGCCAGGCGCTGGGCCTACAGAAGCTAAGGAACAGACCGCCCTGGCCAGGCCCAGAATGCGGCCCTCTGAGGAGGCTGCTCAGCCGCAGGCCCTGAGACCCCAGTGAGCCGGACAAAGTGGCCACAACCTGTCATCCAAGTCCCTGTCCCCCCAGCCCTGCCAAGTAGAAGGGGCCTGAGCCTCCAGGACAGACCCCGCCCCCGTCCCGACCCCCCAGACCTCTCCCAGGCCGCCAGCCCTGCCCACTCCCTCAAGGCCAGTCCAGGCCACTGGTTTTCCAGGAACAAACCCTGCATTGTGTCATGCCTGGGTCCCGAGGGCCATGCCCTCAAGGGGCTACAGGATGGCGCTTTATCTCGTCCCATGCTGCCCCTCCCCCACCCTCCGTTGGACAAGTTTAGTCAATTATGTAAAATGCTGAACAAATGCAGCTTCAGTTCCTTTCCAGCCAGACCCCCAGCTCAGGGCCCTCCTACACCGGAACTCTGCTGGCTTCTGGGTCCTCCCTCGTGGCCCTTCCTCCATGGCTCATGGACACTCTGCTGGTCCCCAAGTCTCCGAGCTGAATGTCCATGTCCCGTGGTCAGGGGCCAGTTTTACGCAGCCTGTGTACCACCGCCCCCCATGTCTAGGACAGGCCTGCTTGGGGCTTACAGGGTCTGCCCCCTCTAGCCTCTTGGAGCCCAGTGACCAGAAGGAAGTGGCCAACCCGGGAGGAAGTAGCTACTGTTTACCCGAAAGGGGAAATTTGGGCAGTGAGCTTGCTCCCACGTGGCCAGCCTCCAGGCAAGCCCCAGGGACACAGAGCCAGTGACTCATCCTGGGCCAGTTTCCCCCAAGAGGGATGGGGTGAGAGGCCCGGCCACGCACAGCCTCTACCCTTCTCAGACCCCAGGGAGACGAGCTCGCCGGGTCGCCATCCTGACGAAGGAGGACCCCGCAGTCGAGCGGGGACTCCAGAGAGGAGGCACCTCACCACCTGCTGTGCTGTGTGTCCTCACACGTCTGTGCCCTCTCTGGGCTGCCCTTTCCCGCCTGTACGGCGAGGGGATGGGCGGCCAGGTGAGGCCCAGCTGTAAGGCCTGTGGGCCTTCTTCCTGCAGCTCCTGGGGTCAGTGGAGACTCCTCTTTCCAGCCTCTTGAGTCTTTCAAGCATTACAGCCAACCGATCCCTCCCTTCGGGGCTCTCTTCCATCCTGGGCTCTATGGTCAGTGCAAGCATTCCCCCTGGGGGGGTCACACGTCTGCGTCTTCCCCGGGTCCTGCTGGGAAGCGGCCCTAACCACAGCCTGCCCCCCCGCCCCCTGGCCAGATGGCACGGATGGAGCCCTCCTGTGCATGAGGCAGAGAGCACAGGATCCGGAGGGACACGGGGATCTTGGGAGGGCCTTGCTAACCCCGGAGCACGTGAGGAGGAAGTTGTCCTGGACGGAAGGGGGTTGGAGTTCAGGGTGCGGTGCCGGAGAGGGAACGGGGAGCCAGGCTGACGTCAGAGCCGAGGCTGTGATGCCCAGTGAGCCGCCCCACGGGGAGGCCCCACCACCAGCTGCAGGGGAGGGCCCTCCGCGCGCACATCCACACAGCCCTGCACCTCGCCTCCTGCCCTGACAGGGTCGTGGGAGGGGGCCAAAGGAAGAGAGGGGCTGTGTGACTCTGGGCTCTGTGCCTCTGAGTCTCAGGAAGGCCTAGGCCTGGCCCCCGCTGCAGGAAGCGGCCTGGGCGGGCAAGGAAGCTGCAGAGACAGGAGCACCCCACCCCACCCCACCCCCACAGACCCTCTCGGCCTGGATTTGCAGACTCTGGCTTCCAGAAAGTCTCATTTCCCTACCAAATGTGCAGGCAAATCTCCACACCTTGTGGTTGCCTTTCCTAGAGGGAGGTCACCTGAGGTGACCTCCCAGCCCCGGGGTCCAGGGTTCCAGGGCTTGGACAGGCAGAGGCTGCCCCAGGGAACTAATGGAGGACAGAGGGTGGGCAGGGCTGGGTGCCAGGCAGGTGAGGCCTGCACAGGAGTTCGGGGGAGCCCCAGGGCCCAGGGAGCGGGTGAGGCCTGGGCCCCGGGGCAGGCAGCCGGGCACTGGGCCCAGTACAGCAGCCCACCTGCCTCAAAAGGAGCCTAAGAGGTGCTGACGCAGGCCGAGCAATGAGGGGAGCAGAGCTGGAGGGGGGGAAGACCCCCAAAGGAGGGGTCAGGATGTGAGGACACTCAGCAAGAGAACTCCTTTGCTCCCCTCCTTTGCTCCTTTTGAGACCCCCTCACCCAGCCAGGATGCTGCCCCAACTCTGCCATTAGCGCAGCCCCTCTCCACGCAGTTGAAACGCCCCCAGCTCCCAGACGGGCCTCACGCGGGAGCTGTGCAGGGGCAGGAACCGGAGGGCAGGGGGCCTGGGGAGGGGAGCCCTCAAGGCAGGTGGGCTGCTGTACTGGGCACAGTGCCCGGCTGAGAAACAGCATGGGGAACGGGAAGGACCCAGGACCTCTGCAGCTGCCCCGGGGCCCAGGCCTCACCCGCTCCCCGGGCCCTGGGGCTCCCCCGAACTCCTGTGCAGGCCTCACCTGCCTGGCACCCAGCCCTGGCCCCATTTGGAGTCTGTTTTGGAGTTTCTTTTGTATTTTGAAGTTTGAATATATGGCTAAATAGCTACTAAGTTTGATTCGGTGCGTTTGGAAGCTAGGTACAGAGTTTGCGTGGTCTGGGGCGGGCCGGGCCTTTTCCAGTCCTGAGTCTGTTCCCGTCTCTGCGGTGGGGGCAGACGGGCGCAGTCACACCACTGTGCCTGGACAAGGATGAAAGGAAATGGGGTGTATTTGAAGTGCCCGGTGCATCGTCGCGGACCTGCCGTGGTCGGCTCCTAGCTGTGGGGGGTGGAGGGCACCCTGGGGCCTCCGTGCAGGCTGTCAGGTGTGCCAGGCCTGGGGCAGCCATCTGGCCTCCGAGGAGCTGTAGAACGGGGTTCTTAACATACGGTCTTTGACCCCGATCTTCCCAGTGCGCCGGAAGCTGACCTCTCCATGGCTGCCCGTCCTTTGGGCCTCACAAGCATATGGCCTGCAACGCTGCGGGTTTCCACTTTTGCCTGGCATCAGAACTAGTCACTGCTGAGGCCAGATAATCTATGGAGAAGTTCACTTCTTGACACTAAGACTGAGAGGTGGCGGACGGGGAGGCCCGCTGGTCTGATAGGTGGATTCCCTTTCCACCGCGGTGCTCAGGAGCCCACAGGCCCCACGCGCGGGTGCTCCGTGCAGCAGGTGGGGCTGGCGGTGTTTTTAAGACCATGGCAGGTCCAAGACATTCTTTGGAGACCCCATTTCACTTCATATCGAATATATATAATTCTGAAATGACAGTCCCATTTTACATTATTAAAAAATGTGTGCATATATATACATTTTTTTGCTTTGAACTTTTGGGAAAATATTATTTTTATGATTTGGCTTTGGAATGATTTGGCTTTGAGAATTCATTTAATTGGCGGTTGGTGATAATTTCTTGGCAGTTTTCCTGTGACCCTCGGGGGGGTCCTGGGGGTGGGGAACCATCTGACCTCCAAACCGTTTTCAGATGTGATGAATCTTTTATGAATGCTCAATAAAGTTGACGCAATAGTCCATTGTATAGACATTTGCGTACGCACTCTTTCATAGTGATTTTATAGTTTTCTCTTTTTGGATTTTGGAGCCAACACTCGTGCGAGTTGGGGGGTGTTTCCTTGCTCGGGTCCAACACATTTTTACAGGCCCTCATCGAGTTCCCAGGACCTGGCCATTGTCCTGTGGCTACAACAGAGCTGTGTGCATGGGGTGGGGGGTGGGGGCCCTGACGGCATCTCCCGGGAGCCCCCCTCCACCCCAGCAGCTATGCAGAAACAAACTTGCTCAGCAGCACTGAGGGGCCGAAACAGTCATAGTGAAACTGGTGACCTCTCCCAACCAGTGTCAGCCCCTCCCCTGGTTTTTCGCGCAAACGGGAGGCCCCAAAATGACTGAGCTTGAAAATATTGCCCAGCCATCTAACTACTCCTCCAATATTTACTGAGCGCAAATGGATACAACCCCAAAAGAAGGCAATTTGGCAACATCTATCAAAACCACAGACGCAAGCACCCTTTGAGTGCAGGGGTCTCACTTGGGGGACCACTGTGGGTGTTCTCACGCTTGTGCATGGTCGAGTGCGTGTGAGGCCATCCACTGCCACGTTGTTGGAAATAGGGGAATATTAGGAACGACTCAGGTGACCTCCCGCGGGGGGCTGGTCACAAAGCCTATGGTGCAGCCACAGCGGGAATGTACCTTTGCCACGGCCCACACAGCGCCCTGGGCGTCCTCCTACGGGCAGAGCTCCAGGATGGATTGTTTTATAAAGCGAAACACTGTACAAGTACAGTATACTATTCCGCCCTTGGAATAATTACCTAAATAAGTAAATAATTTAAGTTAAATTAAATGTGCCTGTTGAGCCTCTAACGGTACCAAGCCCTGTCCTAGGCACAGGACCGAGTAGAGAATGAAGCAGACGACTTGAGAGAAAAGAAGTCGGCTTGCTCGTTCTCCAGGGAGCAAACCCACGCCCACTAACAGAACGACCAAGGGTGTGAAAACATCATGTCCACAAACAACAACAAGCACTAGAATTTGCTGAAGAGGCCATGTTGGCCTCCCACTGCCACCGCATGGGTTCAGGAAAGGAGGCGCGGGGGGCTGGGGCCGGGTCCCCGGTCAGGGCAGCTGGACAGACCTCGGGGGTGGCCTCTAGGAGAGCAAGCCGGACTGGGCGCCCTCAGGCGGGAGCCCCTGTGGGATGGCCCGCCGCCCGGAGTGGGTCACAGGAGGAGCATGACTTTGGGAGGAGAACCCAGCATGAGGAGGTGTTGATCCAACAGACGCACTTGGCTTCGGAAGACTCCCCAGCCGCTGGGGACCTGGAGTGGGGGCTGAGGTTTCTTGCAGCCGCCCAACCACCTGCATGGGCTTCTGATGCCCCAAACCCTGCCAGGGCAGTTTCTCCCCTCCATTTGTATAGACAAGGGCACTGAGAGATGGTGAGGTTTAGGACCTACTGCAGAGCCAGCCAACGGGGGCCAGGACACCCCAGGGAGGGGAATTGAAGGGGCACGGCCACACCAGTGTCCCCCCAGATGACCACGGTGGGGACTGAGCAGCGGGGTGGGCGGTGCTGTTGGGGACCACCCACCCATAGGAGACCCTGGGCCTTGCCCGACTGTTCTCTGAGCTCAGACACAGACTCCAGTCTGTTTGCCCCACCAGGGATCCTCAGACTGGCCCTCTAGCACAAAACGCCTTTGTCTTCCTATGCAAATGACCAGGTTCTGCCCAGGGAGAGTGGTGCCTAAAAGGGAGGTGGGGAGAGAATGCCTCATGGAAAATCATAAAAACACATTTCTTTGCATTTGAATATGTGCAGGACTTCAGTTTGGCAGCAGACTGACTCTGCGTCAGACCCCAGCTTCCCCAGCTCCCCCTCTGGGGTCTGGTGATGCCCACGGACTTCTCGGAATCGCACACAATAAAATACACGGCGGTCCGGTGGAGATCACTGGAATATGGCTCCCAAAATACTAGTGATGTAGGAATACGGTGCATGTCTTTATCAGCTCCACCAAATTCTGGGTGGTTCTCCCGAATCTCTAACAAAGACCCACCTCATCCCTCTGCAGGAGAGCAGCATGTCTTCTCCCCGGGCACCTGCCTACTCCAGTCTGGCCTCCTGGGCCAGAACCCCCTCGGCCCCTAACCCCTGACCTCACCCCTGTCTAAGTGATGGGAGCCACGCCCTCTTCTCCCTCCCCCTTGACACCATGTTCTGTACATGGACTTATCAATCGTCTGTGTTCGTGATTCCCACAGCCCAGGACACAGAGCACCCAGTAGACACTCAATCCATCTGGAGTGGAAGGAGATTAACCAGCACAGAACTTCACCAAAATACAAGTGGCGTCCACGAGGACAAATAGAATTTAACCCCACTGCTTTGCTAATGGCAGCTGGGCTGAGGACCTTAGCCAGGGCCTGGTCTCCAGCCGTGGCGGAGGCTGGGGGTTAGGGGAAAGCGGCCAGGAAGTCCGAGGTCTCCTGCCCTATCCAGCACCCCCTCAACCTGGCTGCTAATAGGATGCTCCCCCCAGTGTCTCCAGCCACACAAGGTGTCCGCCCCAGAGTCAGGAAGGAGAGGTGACAATAGGGCTTCTGTGGGCTTGGCGGTCGGGGGCGGGGGGCGGGCACGGACTCAGTCAAATGAGCCGGGTGCACGCAGATATAGAGGCGTGTGGGTGGTCTGCCCTCTGCTTCCATTTAGGGCTGGCCGGAATGGAGGGCAGCCTGCAGCCGCTCAGCCTGCGGAGGGGGCCCGAGGAGGCGGGGGACAGCCAGGCCCTCGCCAAGCTGCGGGAGTTGGCCCTGACGTGGTTCATGGAGACACAGGCACCCCTCATCCTGCAGGACGGAGCCCTGCCCCCCTGGTTTCACGGATTCATCACCCGCAAGTAAGGCCACCCCATCCACGTGCCCCACGGGGGCCCTGGGGACCGAGAGAATGGTCTGGGGACCCCGGCAGAAGACTGGCCCCGCTGCCTCCCCGGGCTAGGCAGGGAGCAGACTGAGGGGCGCCTTGTTCTCTGGTGGCCACTCCTGTGGGCAGGCTGGGCGAGTGCACCGGCCCCCACTCTGAGCCAAGGTCTAGAAGAGAGACGGGGGCAGGAGCAGGTCCGTTGGGACCCACCCAAGAACCAGACGAACGACCGGAGGGCCATCTCCTCTGTCGTCCAAACCGGACACTATTCATGGGGGCGGTGAGAGAGCTGCTTTGAGTGGGGATCGTCCTGGGTCGGCTTGGACGTGCACTATCCAGCGAAAGAGGCTGCGATGTGGGGGCCGGCGTTCGGATGGCGCTGGACCTGCGAACGGCCAGAGCACGAGACGAAGGAGCGGGACATCCAGCCCGGCGCTCCTGGCTCGGCACTGGCCTTCAACTGGGACTGGCCGCGTTGTTTATGGCTCTGCTGTCCCCGTCTTGAAATCCTTACTTTTTGAGGGAGGGGCTCCGCACTTTCATGTAGTACTGGGCTGTGCAAAATCTGCCGTGGACCTTGCATGGAGCAGGCACTCAGTGAGCGCTCGGTGAGCTAGTGGTGCCAAACGAGAAGAGAGCTGGAATTTTCCTCCATGTCTCCAAAATACTTGGCACCGTTCAGAAATATCCATAGCTGCCTCGGGCTGGAAGGGACATGTAGGGGAGATGAGAGCCTAGGAGTTGCTCTTGTGATCAGGCTCCAGACAAAGCATCACCTCCTCCTGGTAGAAACTCTTGTGCAGTGCACAGCCTGCACAACTGTACGGTGGTGGTCCTGAGGCAGGGACCTCCCCAAACCTAAAAATCTCTGGCTATAGGGATTCATTCTTATTACAGAGACGTTCAGGTGGAGAGTGGGTGCCCAGGGTCAGTGGCTATTGTGCGTGCCAGTGAGCTGCAGTGGAGGGTTGTGCATGTGGAGCCTCAGGACTCCGACCCAGCCCAAGACTGAGTCCCGAGTTTGCCGGACTGAGCGCACACAGACCGCAGTCGCAGCCGCGGGTCTGAGAGAGTCCCCTGTGGAGGGCTGCAGATCCGTGCGCTGGGTCTGGCACCCAAGGGCACAGCCCGCAGGGACTCTGAGGCAGGTCGGAGTCGGCCCGCTCCTGCTGCCACACGGGCACAGGCCCCCCGCTAATTGTATGTCTTCTGCCCAGGCAGACGGAGCAGCTGCTTGGGGACAAAGCTCCTGGCTCCTTCCTCATCCGCCTCAGCGACCGGGCCACCGGCTACATCTTGTCCTACAGGTAGGGGAGGAAGCCGTCTGTGAGGCCCCCATAGCCCACCTCGCAGATGAGACAGGCGCCCCCGCAGCCCGAACGGCCTGGCTTTCCCTGGGCGCTGGCTCCCCCGCCCCACCTCCATCCATCACATGCTCAGCGCACGGTTCCTGAGCAGCACTGGCCACGGGACGCAGCCCCAGCCTTCAGAGGGGGTGGGCTGGGGGCCCTGGGAGGAGCTGCAAGAGGCTGGGGACGGCAGGTTCCCGGGGAGGGAGTGCCTGCACAGGAGTGTGGGGCAATGTCTGTAGACTGGGGAGGGCCGTTTGGCCAGGGTCCCTCAAGCAGGCTGCGGACGGAGGACCTAAAGACAGAGGCAGGACGTGTGAGGCCCATGGGGACCCGTGAAATGGGGAGGCTACGGTACAGGACAGGGGGCAGGTGGGCCAGGATGAAGCCGAGGTGGTGACATCAGGGCCGGGCTGGAGAGGAGGCTGGGTTGGGGAAGGCGGAGGAAGGGAGAAGCCCCCTCCCCGTCAGGAGGTGAGGCCAGGGCTCCCAGGCAAACCTCAGAGGACTCAGATCAGATTCAAAGTTACCTCCTGCTCAGACCACCCCTGTTCAAGTCCTGACCTTGAGCATGGGCTTCCCTGTGCCTCTGTAACTTCATCGGTAGGATGGGAACATCGTAGTACCGACATTGTAGGATTGCTGAGTGGGTTGGATGGGTTTATACGTTGAAAAATGCTTGGCACAGTGGCTGGAACATCGTAAGGACCAAATAAACATCAGTCACTATTAAAATGGTCATTGTTATTCTATGTGCCAGGTACTCTGCTAAGCACTTTGAAATATGTGAGCTCAGCAGCTTCCAAATGTCTTTTTAGTGTGAGGGCCCTTTTTTCCAAACATGGTCTTAGGTGGAATGCCAACTTATAAAATTGCTCAGAGGTACATGGTGGGTAGATGGACCCGTGGAGCACCATGGGGCCCAGACACAGCCCCACACGTGTGGTCACCTGCTTCACAGCAGTTCCGTGCGGAAAGGCAGGTCTTTCCAGTAAGGGGTGTGGGAGCAATCGGATATCCAGATGGAAAACAATGACCCCCACCTCACATCATACAGAAAAAATGAACTAATTCTAGAAGGATCATAGACACGAGTGAGAAAAGCAAAGCAGGACATTTCTAAAAGAAAACAGGAAAAATTTTCAAGGCTTCGAGAAAGACGAAGATTTCTTTTTTTTTAAATTTTTGTTATGTTAATCACCATACATTACATCATTAGTTTTGGATGTAGTGTTCCATGGTTCATTGTTTGTGCATAACACCCAGTGCTCCACGCAAAACGTGCCCTCTTTAATACCCGTCACCAGGCTAACCCATCCCCCCCAGCCCCCTCCCCTCTAGAACCCTCAGTTTGTTTTTCAGAGTCCATCGTCTCTCATGGTTAAGATGAAGATTTCTTAAGACACAAACCTACTAACCATAAAAGAGAAGGTGGATACACTGGATTTCTTTAAAATTAAGACTTTTTGTTAATCAAAAGATACCAGTGAGTGAATAAAACGACAAACCAGAGTCTTGGGAGACGTTCTGTATTACATGTATCTAACAAAGGGCTCCTGCCAGAATATACGAAGAGCTCCGCAAATCACTAAGACAGAGACAACACGATCAATAAAGGGGAAAGACTTGAACAGCCACTTCATAAAAGGATCCGACCAAAGGGCAACAATATTTTGGCGTTCAGCAGCATTAGTAATTGGGGAAATACAAATGCAACCCGCAATAAGTGGCGAGAGTGGGGAACAGAGGATATACCGAGAAGTTGGTGGGGATGTGGGGACACCTGGAAGGCTCCTACCTCACAACGATTTCAGGAAACGATTCGCCAGAATCTACGAAGCTAAACAGAGGCGAACCCCGAGCCCCAGTGCTACTCCTAGTGTATTCTCAACAGAGATGTGCACGTCCGGGAGCCGCAAACGCGTAGTGGGATGTCCACTGGCAGCTTTATTTCTAGCAGCCCAGATCTGGAAACGACCTAAATGTCCAGCAACAGAGGGGGCGAACCGTGGATGTCTTCCTTCAGTGGAATTCTACCCATCAGGGTCGGGGAGCTCACTGTGCGCGGACACGAATCAATCTCAAAGATGCGCTGAGGGAAGCCAGACACGGAACTGTGATTCCATTATGTGATGTCCCCAGCCGCACGGGGGCAGGCGGGAGTCTCCGAACCGCGCTCTGCTTTGCCTGGGGGGTGGCTCCCTGGAGGGCGCCTCTGCGGGACTCCGGCCCTGCGCACACGCACGCACACTGGGGCCCGCGCTTTGCTGCAGAAAGGTTGTTGGTCTGTCAAGGACAGGACCCCGGGAGGGCAGTGGTTTACCCGCGGACTGGGGGCGGGGCTGGAACTCCAGGCGTTTAGGGCGGGCCGAAGGGCGCTGAGTAAGTGCAGGGTTGGACCTCCTTTTGGTTTAAGATTTTGGTATTTTGTTCATCATGGACATTTGGGTAATTGATTTTGATTTTCTAAAATACTGCTCTGCTGGTTATTTTCGTTGCCGAGTTTCGTGATGCCCCTCTGAATTTGGCGGCTCCGCTGGGTGCCTCCCTCGCCCCACTGGGGCAGGCTTAGGGACTTCCCTGGGACGGGGTGGGGTGGGACTTGAAAGCCACTCCCGGGCTCCTGACCCCCCACAAGGCTGAGCTGTGCAGGGCTGGGCTCGGGAGCTTCAGGCCCCGTTAGAGAGGCACACCCCGAGCAGGGCTGCGCAGGCGGGCAAGCTGGACCACCCACGGCCACACTGGCTTGTGTTGTAGGGGCAGTGACCGCTGTCGGCACTTTGTCATCAACCAGCAGCAGGACCCGCGCTACCTGGTCTCGGGAGACACCCACAGCCACAGCACCCTGGCTGACCTCGTGCGCCATTACCAGGTGGTGCAGTTTGAGCCCTTTGGGGAGACCCTGTCTACTGCCTGCCCCCGGGTAGGTACCCCTGTTTTCCTGTGTGCGGGGGTGGGGCAGGGTACCCAGGCCTCTCCGGCACACGACTGCCATCCAGGCACTCAGTGCGGGGTCATGGTCCCTATTTGAAGAGGGGAGACTGAGGCAGCATGTGCCGGTCCTTCCCTGAGGTCGGGGACCTGGGGGGCGTGTGTCGGCCCTTCCCTGGGGTCAGGGACCTGGGGGGCGTGTGTCGGTCCTTGGCCGGCCGTCACTGGCAGGCTGTGGAGGCCAGAGTGGGGTGCATGACCACACACCCACTGTGCACCCACCCCCCCCCGCCCCCAGCCGGAGGACAACGATCTATATGATGCCATCACCCTGGGCTTCCAGCACACCAGTCTGGGCCTGGAAAATCCACCTGCCTCAGCATCCCCCACGGTGGCCCCAAATAAGGCTGCCAGCCCCTGGCCCCACCTAAAGCCGCAGGTCCCCTTCCTCCACACCAAGAAGAGTCTGGGTGCGAGTTCCTGCAGCTTCTCTGAGGAGACGGTGAGCAGCATTCTGGGCCCCTCAGGTCAGGGCCGCGCCAGGCTGCGGGGTGGGAGCACCAGGCCCAGAAAGGTGCGGGCTCACCCACCCCAGGGCCTGCGTCTGGCCAGCTGGGTATGCTCTAGCCCCCGCTGGGCCCTTCTAGCTGTGTGCCTCAGTTTGCCATTCCTACGGTTCCTCTGAGGCTTGAATGAGGAAATGGGTAAGAAATACCTGAAATTCCTCTAAACTATGGGGGGGGAGGTGGTGCCTGTGAGTTGATATTTTCTGTCCACAGCACCTCCTGGGAGGGGCTCAGAGAGATTTTCCTCCTATACAGTAGATCACAGCAGGCCCGAGGCCTCTCCTCATGTTTAGAAACAACCTGAGGCCTTCCCCAGGGTCCACGGGGGGCCTCACCAGGGGCCCTGCTACCTCCCCTCTGCTCACTCTTCTCCAGCCTCACTGGCATCTTCCCAGAACACACCAACCTTGCTCCCACCCCAGGGCCTTTGCACTTGCTGTGTCTTTGCTGCAATGCTCTTCCTACCAGCTAGCGGCTTGTACTCCTTTCTCTGCTTGCGTGTCATCTCTCCAGAAGGGCCACCAAAAGGAAAGACCCCTCCCCACCTGTCATTCTGTCTGTCCCGTCGCCCTGCTTTGCTCCTCTTCATGATACCGATCACCACCGGACCATTCACCATCTTGTGACATGCTATCGTGGGTCTGTAGGCACACGAAACCATGTAGCAGACTGGTCTGTTGCCCAGGTCCCAGGTTAGAAGGGAGACTTCCAGAGTTGGCCTTGCGGCCCACCGAGTCCTACGCACGTAGGACGGTGTCTGGTACACAGCTGGTGCCCAGCAGACATTTAGGGAATAATACCAAAATGACAGCCTCAGGGGTGATGGTCTATTCTGAAGGGGGGCCGTGAGCGGGTGGGCTCGGGGGGCCCTGAGGGGCCAGTGGACCACTCTGGAGGGAAGACAGAGCAGGATGAGCTTGGGTGGTGCCCGCTGGCCTCGAATGCCAAGGACAGACTAGATTCGGGGAGCGTGGGGCCTGGCAGGGACCCTCACACGTGACAGTGAGGTAAACGGAGCCAGGACAGGACTGCGGCGTGCTGAGAGCCTGCGTTTACCTGAGGAGCGACGGGGGAGGCTTCCGGAGGTTCTGCCTCTGTCTCCCCAGGTCCCCGTCAGGGTGCCTCCCCTCCCTGAGAGGAGCGCCTCCCTTCTGGACGAGTCCTTTGGAAGCCCCAGCAAGAGCATCTACTCAGACGTGAGGAAGGTGAACCAGGCACGGCTGGGCCTGGGCGCAGAGGCGTCCGGCAGGCCCAGGCCAGCCCCATCTGGCAGCCAGCCCAGCTCCCCGGGCAAGGCGCCGGAGAGGACACTCTCGGCTGGAGGCCAGAACAAGCCTGATGGCCCAGGGCCTGCCCTCTCTGGGGTGAGCCCCAAGCAGGGTCCTACAGTGCCTCCCATGCCCTGGGGCCACCTCCTGCCCCCTGCTTCTGAGGCCCTGGGATCCTTGGCTGCCCCCTGGAACCAGGCGTCTCCGAAGCTGAGCCACAGGGCTCAGCCCTGCTCCCAGGGCAGTTCTGCAGACACTTTTGAGTTCCTGCAGAAAGCAGGTCCCCCATCAGAGCCCAGGGACGTGCCAGACCAAGAAGTCAGTGCCTACGCGCAGGTCCCAGTGCGCTGGGGGGGCCCAGCCAGGCCCTTGGGTCCCGGGACCAGTCCTCCATCTAGCAAACCACCAGGACCCACAGACTACGGCTATGAGAGGCTCTCAGGGGCCCCAGAGCTCCCCAAGCCCAGGAACACCTATGAACAAACCCCAGCAGCCAGGAGCAAGGAGACTGGACGGACACACAAGGTGGGCTCCATGGTGGGCGGGGGTGGCCGCCGGTAGGAGGGATCCGTGGCCCTCATGCATGAGCAGGCCAGGTCACTGCTGCTGTCCCGAGGGGCCCAGAATTTTCCAGAAGTAACGTATGCTTGGAGGTGGTGGGAGGGGTTGTTGCTCAGCTTGGATGTAAGGTGGGGGCTTCTAGGCCCTTCTGGGGGCTTTCTCTGCAGACCAGGTTTCCCTGCCCTGGCCACTGTGACAGGTGGACAAGGGGCCCTGGCTCCAGGCCGGACTTGCCTTGGCCCTCGTCATGGCTCAGCCACCCCCCAGTTTCCCTGGCAACAATTCTCCCAAAGAGTGTGTCCCACATACTGCGATTACTCCTCATTTATCTGAAATTCAGATTTCACTGGGCATCCCGTATTCTCATTTAGCTACTGACCAGGACCTCCCTTTCTTCATCTCTAAGATTCTGCCCAAAGGGCAATGCTAGACATGCTCCCGTGCTAAGGACACAGCCCAGAGACGGCTGAACAGAGCTGCCATTTCAGGGGGTTTCTGACAGGAGGGAGGACAGGGGAAGTGGAGGTCAGGAGGACAGAGGGAGGTGGTCAGGGGCTCCCATGGGCCCCTGGCACCCTCAGCCCCAGCACATTCTGTCTGCACCCTGAGCCAGTGAGCAGGGAGGGTCCATTCTCCATGGGGATGGCCTCGGATCTCGGCACATGCAGACCCTCTCGAGGTCTAGGCAGTGAAACCCAAGTTCCCAGCTGAAAGGCCTTCCCGCACATCCTGGGACGGGGTGTTTACCCGGTGTGGTGCAGCCACCGAGGTCCTGACTCTCCTGGGACCAGAGGCCCCGCCCGTAGGCAGGCCCTCTCGGAACCCCGAAGCCACACGCCCTGGCTGCAAAGCCCCACATCCTCTCTGGTCCGCCGCCGCCAGGGAGCAGCGCACTCCCACCTGCCTAGGGCCCTGCTGCACCAGAGAGCTCTGGGAGCTAGGGAACCCTGGGGCCCTCCAGTGAGGGAAGGAGGGGCTGGGGCTTGCTTCTCCACCCCTTTGGAGACCCCCTCCTCCCCTTAGCCTTCTCAGAAGAGGCAGGTCCTTCATCCAGAACGGGGGAGGGGGGGTGCTGGACGTGGAACTTCTGGCACCATGAGGCTCGTGAACAACCAGCAATATTCCAAGCTGGCCTTTCCTGGGCGTGGGCCCCAGCCTCCAACCAATGCTGGGCCTCTCTCTGTCCAGGGCCTCCAGGTTCCAGTATGTCCTCCCTCTCTGCAGCCTGACAAGCTCCGGAGGATCTTCTTCACTGACAAGAAGCACAAGTTCTGAGCACCGGGCTTCCTCCCAGCAGCTCACCGGTGGGCTTCCTGGGACCCGGCTATGCCCCCTCTGAAGGCACCCCTGCTTCCCCAGTGCCCCTCACTCTCCCCCAGGGCGGGTGGGGGTCAGGGCTGGAGGGGCGGGGGACTGACCACAGGCAGGGTCAGCACCCCATCCCCAAGATGAACTTCTGAGGCCTGGGCTTCCTGGCCCCTTACAGAGCACGTGGCCGGCCCCGGGCTAGGGCGGGCTGAGACCCGAGCCAGCTCCCAGCCGCGGGGGGCAGGGCCTCTGAGGCAAGAGTTCCGGCCCGGAGGCGCTGGGCTCCCAGGAGCAGGCCCCTTGGCCCTTCTCTGCCCCCTGCCTTATCGCAGCCTTGCCATGCAGGCTGGCCAGGCCCTCATCCAAGCCCTCCGCACCCCAGACGAGGGACCAAGGCCAGAGAGGAGGGAGCCGCCTGAGGTCACGGTCAGCGCCTGCAACACACACCCCAAGCCTGGTGCCTGGGGTCCGCCTGGGACGCGCTCCTGGGCGTTTCTGGGGCCAGCCGGTGGGCACAGACTGCCCACTGCCGTATGCCCGGGTCACCCTCCCCTGCCCTCTTGGCCCCGAGGGGCGGCTCTCAGGCCGCTCCCATGAGGCCCACACAGCAGCTCTGCACACAGCCCTCACGGGCCCACTGCCCCTGGGTACCCGACCCCCAGGGTCCTTCCTGCTTTTTGTCCCACCTCCCCTCTTCCCCGAGCGCCCCCACCTGCGGGGGGGGGGGGAGCAGCTGTGTGCGGCCCCCCGCCCAGGCCTCCAGGCACCGGAGGGGAAAACAGACCGACGTCCCCAGAGGGCGCCCCGGCCCCCACTCCTCCCGCCCGGTCCCCTGGCCCGGCCCACCCCGTGGGGGCACCTCCCCTGGCAGCCTGCCCCCGAAGAGCGGGGGAGAGCACCCGCCTCCCAGGGCCCTGGTAGGACAGAGCAGGCAGAAAGCCCCCCGTGTGACTCGTGCTCAGTGCTCCGCAGGTTCTCACCACAACCACTACTGTCACGAGGGAAATGGGCACGGCTCTCAGCTAATGTCCCCTGTGGGGCTCGCCTGGAGATTCGGGGTGCCAGTGTGTCTCCCTCTCCAAAGCACAAGCATTGAAATAAACGTTAGCGCCCAAAACAGGAAGGCGACACTTGACCCGGAGGTGACCCACTAGTGGTGGGATTTCGAGGAAGGAGCAAGAACAAGGGACCACGGAGCACGTCCCAATGTCGGCAGACAGGGCACGGGGACGTCAAAGTGCTTTACTACCAGGAATTCACAAATGTGTGGACAGCACGCACCAGTGAGAATTCCACATCTTGGGAAGGCAGGGGTGGGGTGCCCAGGCCTCAGAGCCAGGGACAGGGACAGAGCCCTTGGCCCACTGTCCACACAGCTTCACAGTGGGGAAGTCGGGGGAGAGGGGGACCAGGCGGGGCTGGGGGGCAGCCCAGCTACGGGTTTTGGAGAAAGACTGCATAGCTCGTGACACCTTGTCCTCCTTCCCTTTTCGCTTTGCCCTGGGCCGTCAGGACGCCAGCCCAGCGCTTGGGACACGTCCGTGTCCCCTGCCCCGTGAGGTCTCTGCCTCCCCCTCCCAGTGGGGCAATTTCTGAAAGGGAGAGGACCGCGGTCTGGGGGGCTCGGGGGCACAGACGGAGGGCCTGTGGCGGGGCCTGGGAAGGGCCCTGCTCCCCACACCCGCCTTCCCTGGTTAAGGATTTTTTGCTGAAAGGGCCAAGAAAATGTTGGTGGGTCTAACCCCAGAGGCCACAGCCTCTTTTATGGACAGCCCGGAGGTCACAGTCGTGCAGACAGCAGACCCAGGTGGTTGGCCTTGGGGCCCCTGTGCCCTCGGCAGGGTCCTCAGATCCGGATGTGGAAGGTGCTGGAAAGAGAGGAAGGGTCCCTCAGCAGGAAGCCCACTGGCCGCTGGCCCAGGGCGCAGTCCCCTAGGAGGATGCGGAGGACACAGCTGCCCTCCTTTGGTCGGGGGAGGGCGGGCGGTGGGCCCAGCCGTCCCGGGAACCCCAGGCCCAGCCGTGGGGCCGCACCTGAGGAAGTCGGGGGCCTTGGCAATCATGTCCTCAAAGTCTGCGAAGCCCAGTTTGCCGTCGCCATCCAGGTCGGCCTCCTCGATGACCTTCTCACACACGAGCACCACCTCATCGTCGTCCAGCTCCGACTTGGTGAGCCGCGCCAGTGTGCGCTCCAGGTCCTCCTTACAGATGAAGTTGTCCGTGTTGAAGTCTGCGGGCAGGGACACGGCGTGCTCAGGCCGGGGCTCCCCCCGACATCCCGCCCCCGGTGCCCAGGCCCAGGATGAACACCACATCTGATGAGCCAACACTCACCCCCGTAAGACCCCGCTATGGTCACAGGTCCAAACCTGGCCCTCCTGGCCACACCCCGCGGTGGGCCCTGTGTTCCCTCGGGAGCAGAGGAAACTGAGGCCCAGGAGGCCAAGCCACTGAATCAAGGTCAGAGGCCTGCTCAGAGGGGGAGCCAGGACGCTGACCGGGCCTGTTCGCCACTAAGCGCTCACCCCCCATGGCCACGTTCTCTCAACTTCACCACGCGGCCTCCCACAGGCCCCCCGCCAGGCACGGCGGTGGTCGGGAGACTCGGAAGCCCTCGGAAGGAGGCCCAGGCCAGTCTCTCTGCACAGAGCAGCTACGTGGTTTGATTCCACTTGGCAGAAGGCACTACACTACCCACAGCACAGCCACATGGCTCGCGGCAGTGACCACGACACCCTGCCCACTGCTTGCAGCTTGGCTCCCAGATCTTCGCCCCTCCCACCCGTCTGGCCAGCAAATTCCCATTTGTCCTCCAAGTTTCAGATCAAACACCACCTTCGGGGGGCTTTCTAGACCTCCGCCGCCCGCCGCTGAGCCCCCACGGCTGGCCACACCCTGACACGCATGGGAGTGATGGAGAGCCTGGCGGCCAGTCGAACCGCACATGCTCTGCCTCACGGCACCGCCTACACAAGCCGATCAGTAGGTCCAGGTTCATACACAGATGAAGAAACAGGGTCCTGCAGAGGCACGTGGCCCGAAGGGACACCCCCAGTCAGGGCTGGACCCCAGAGCCCAGCCCCTTGACAGGTACCCGCACAGCCCACCTCGGCACCGGCCCGCGGATGCCTCTGGGACAGGCCCGGGTGGGATTCACCTCCACCCCCGCAGGGGCCCCCAGGAAGCTTTGCAGAGATGTGCTGGCTGACTGGCTGGCTGGATTCCTGGGCCCCTTTGATGGGAAGGAGCTGAGGCCCAGGAAGGGGGTGACCCTTGCTGCAAGTCAGGCCGCGACTCTCCCCAGCACCAAACCCTGTGTCCCAGTTGCCTTTCCCACTGTTCCACAGCTGAGGCAGCAGGGAGCCTGGTGCCCCCATACCTGTCCCCACCTGCCCCCATGCCCCTCGCTGGCAGATGACAGCCTGCCCCACGCGCAATGCCCCATGCACGATGCCCCACGCGCGATGCCAGGGGTCTGAGGCTGGAGGGTGATGGGTGCAGTGGGGTGCAGCTTGTGGAGGGTGGACCCGCTGCTACCATCCCTGATGCACACACACAAGGAAGTGCCGCGTGTGCCCAGACCAGGCCTCTGAAAGCGGCATAGCCGCTACAAAATGAAACAGCTGGAGAGGCCCGGGTCACGGGCTGGTCAGAGGTGCTGGGACAAGCAGGTCTGAGTGGCTCTTCTGCTAACACCGGCCCGGCCCTCCCTGGAACTCAAGTGTCCCCACAGGAGGGCAGGCCAGCCACGTGAAGTTCTCTCCTCTGGGGCCGGCGTGACCGTGGCCCTGGGAGGCCCGCTGCCCGGCCCAGGCGCCCTCTCCAGCCCCCGGCCTCTGGCTCATGCGTCCAGACCCGGAACTGCCCTGCCCCACCCGGAGCCCCGGGCACCCGGTCCAAGCTCCTCGGCAGGCTCCTCGCAGCCTGACCTGCGACCTCCCTGGGCTCACAGCGCTGGTGTCTCGCCTCGTGGAAGCCTGGCACCTCCTTGCTGCTCTGTCCACGGGGCACGCCTGCCCCCACTGTTGTGTCCACGGATCCCCCCGCCCCACTCCCAGGACCCCCCGCAGGTGCCCTCCAGGCCCCTACCGTAGATCTTGAAGGCATAGTTTGCCTTGAGCTCCCGGGGAGCCGACTCACACAGCACGGAGAACATGTCCACAAAGTCGTTGAAGGTGAGGTTCCCCTCGCCGTCCTCAGAAAAAGCCTCCACGATCCTTTCCTTGAAGGGGTTCTCCTGCAGGAAACAGCCACAGCAGTCGCATGGGTGCAGGGTGACCGAAGGCACTCCGACGCTGACGAGTGAGCTAAGCCCTCTGAGCCCCCACGGCCAGCCCGCACAGCCGAACGAGAGCTGGGCCTGCCTGGCTGGGGGAGGGGGAGGGGGAGGGGACGGCTGGGGGGCACGAGGCCAGGTGCGGGGCTCCTCGGTTGCGAGCAGAGCTGGCGGGGCCGAGGTGCGCTCACGACGGGCACTGCCCCGTCTCGGGCAGGGTGCCACCCCGCTGCCCATGGGCAGCTCTGGGCTAAGCCGGGTCGGGCCAGGGTCGTGGGAGGCAGAAGTGGGGCCCCCAAGGCTTGGAGAAAGGGGCCGGGACAAGCAGCAAGGCTTGGAGGGTCAGAGCCCAGGCCATCATCACCCGCTCGGGGCCTCCTGCTCCGGCAGCTGCACCCCCGACTCCATCCTCTTGGGGCTCGCTCTTCCTAGAGTCCCCACCCCAACTGGACTTGGCCACCCCCACTCCGTGCTGAGCCAAGGAGGCCCAGAAACCACCCGTGTGGCGACTGCCAGAGGGCTCCATGCCCCGGCATCGACCTGCGGGCCACGGCTCAGGCCCTTCTCTAGGCTGGCGGGCACGTGCCAGGGCCAAGCCTGGGCCTCACTGTCGCTGGGGATGGAGGTCAAACCGGGACATGGGCCAGAAAGGACGCCACGTGGTGCCCTGACCCCGAGTCACACATCCAAGGCTTCGCGAGGGGCTCCTGGCCAAGTCCCACAGCGGGATGCAGTTGTGCCCTGAACGCCAGTCTCCCTTACCCCTGGCGGGCACTGGATGCATTGTGGGCAAGGAACTCATGAAATGAAACTTTCCTGTCGAACATACATGTGCTGCGAGGTCCAGCAGCTTCAGCTGTAAAACAATCTCGGCCGCCTCCACCCAGACCTGCTCGGGACCTGCTGACCCTGAGCGGCATTCCGACAAGATCGGCAGGTCTGAGAAGGGTTGGTGGGGATGGCGAGGTGAGAGGCGAAAGCCACACAAGGTGGAGACAGAGAATCACCTGGAAAGGCAGACACAAGCGGGCGCCTGGGGGGCTCGGTCAGTTCAGCGTGGGACCCTTGGACTTGGCTCGGGTCATGACCTCAGGGTCACGAGATTGAGCCCCACGTCGGGCTCCATGCTCAGCATCTTGTCTCTCTTCCTCTGCTCCTCCCCCCTATTTGCTCTCTCCCTCTCAAGTAAATAAATAAAATCTTAAAAAAAAAAAAAGCAGGGGCGCCTGGGTGGCTCAGCCATTAAGCGTCTGCCTTCAGCTCAGGTCATGATCCCAGGGTCCTGGGATCGAGCCCCACATCAGGCTCCCTGCTCCGCGGGAAGCCTGCTTCTCCCTCTCCCACTCCCCCTGCTTGTGTTCCCTCTCTCGCTGTGTCTCTCTCTGTTAAATAAATAAATAAAACCTTTAAAAAAAAAAAAAAAAAAAGCAGACAAGTTCCGCCATGCAGAGCCAACTGGCAATTCCACAAAGGGGCGAACAGGTGAGCACAGCCCCTCAGGCAGCCCCCACAGCGCAGCTCACGTGTTCAGAGAGCGCAGGGGAGCGAGCAGGCACAGACAGGTTCAGTGAGCCTCGGAGGGTGGAGCCGGCCTCAACCTGGGTCTGGGGCGTCTGCTGCCAGCCCGCCAGCCCACCTGCCCGGCAGCAGCGGCCTCTCTCGTACCCGGAGCTCCGGCATCTGGATGATGAGGCTCATGGGCACGTGGACGATGGGACTCTTCCTGTAGTCCATGGGGACGAGGTTGGGGGCCAGCTCGTAGAACCGTGCGTGGAGCCTGCGAGGGAGGCAGAGGGGAAGGGCTGGAGGGGGTGCACCCCCAGAGCCCCCAGCTGCCGATGCTGCCCCACCTGCACCCCGGCCCCCTACACAGCAGCCCCCATCCCGGGCCCTTGCTCTGCCCACAGGGTGTGGGACCTGTGAGGGAGGCCGCTTCTGCCCAGATCCCCATGCCGATAACCAGGTCGTGTCCTGGCCCTTTGCACCACCCCCACCAGGCCGGCCCCCAGCTGCAGGGGTCTGCAACCAGACCTTTTGTATTCCCCTTTGAGCTCCCATAAGGGCCTTCTATGCGCTAAGCATGTCACCTCATTTAATTCTCCCCGCGGCGGTGCAGATACACGGCGGCCCCCACTCACAGCTTAGCAAACCGAGGCCTGAGGAGGTTAAGAGCCATTTGTCTAGGACCACACAACTATAGCTATCGGGGTTCATGGCGGGAGCAAAGGCCTGAAGTCCAGAGCAGGAGCTCTTCACCACTCTGCCCAGTCCTAAGGCTGCTGAAGCCCGGGCCGTCTGCTGCCCCGTCCCCAAGCCGGGCTCCAAGGGTGGGATCTCTGGAAGAGCTACCAGCCACCCCCGCCCCCACTCACACCCACAGGAAGCCCCTGTGAATGGCCCCCCGGACCCTGGGCCAGGTCCCCAGCCCCTCCCACCTCTCTGGGCGCCCAGCGCTCAGGCAGAGGCCGTCCCAGTAATCCAGGCCTCTTCTGCCCGTGTCCCTGTGACCACACCCCTAACAGCCCAGACAAGAGCGCCAACTCCCAGCCCCAGACAAGTTCAACTTAGGAGGGGCATGGAGCAGGGGCTGAGGCGGCTTCCCGGCCCATGGTGAGGCACCAGGTGAGGCCCAGGACTGTCGGGGATGGCATCAAAGTGGCCCCAGAGCTCTGGGCCCCACCTGCCCTGCTCCCCCAAGGCCTGGTCTTCTTGCAAGTGGCCAACCCTGTGGCAGGCCTGTCAGCACAGCCACCCAGCCTTCTCCAGCGGAGCGTGGAGGTACGTGCCCGGCTCACACAGGTGACAACAGCCCCTTCTACTGAGTGCTCACTCTGTGCCCCGCTCTGGGTCAGTCCCCCGTGTGGGCGACTCAGTGTCACCCCCACACCACCCTGAGACGCAGGTGTCACCCTCTCCACTGTTTCAGGGGAGGAAACGGAGGCTCCCAGGGTTAAGTGCCTGCCCCAGCACACCAGCCAGTGAGTGGTGGAGCCGGGACTCGAACCCAAGGCCCTCCAGGTTCCAACCATTTGGCTCCTCCCAGCCATGGGCACCTGGCTCAGAGCAACGTGCCGCGAGCCTGCTCGGCCAGCCACAGATTCCCGTAAACGTCCTGAAATCACAAGGAAGCTCTGTGGCTTAGAAACAGAGAGCTGGAGGGGAAACAAGTAGAAGCCCGTGCGCTGGGTGGGAGCGGGTGAACAGAACCCGGCGTGACGGGACCAAGCAGGACTCCCCACCAGGGGGCAGTCAAGGGCGTCCTTTGCTCTTGCTTTCTACGTTACTGTCCCCAAACACGAAACAGAACCGGGCTTCCATATCACAATTTATGCGACCACTGTTGTGTACTTGACGGGTGTGTTCAACCTCCAACTGTTACACTGCCCCCCCCGACCTGATGCTGCATGCTCCTGGGCATCGCCCGACCCCTCCAAGGTCCCGTGGGGTCAAGTCAGGTGGTGGCTGGGCCCGCACCTCGCTCAGTGGTGGGCTGACCCACGGGCAAGTCAACTTCCCTCCCCCCACAGTCCTCGTGTGTGGGCGTCCAAGAGGGTGGTGCTACGAAAGCGACCCAGCCCTCAGCTGCCCACCCGCCAGGGGCACCCCGCCAGGGGGGACTGGGGAGAGGGGTGCAGGGCTGACAGGCTGGCGTGTCCCTGGGGTGGGGAGGCCAACTTCTGCCCTGACCCTAGGACCAAGTGACATGACCATTTTTTTTTTCTTTTTAGGAAAACTCGAAGAGAATTTGGAAGTTTGAATCGCTGTGGGAGAAATTCCAAACAAGGAGCTGCACCCCTGCTACCCCCTCCCAGCGCAGGGCCCCGCTGAGTTCACGGAGGCCGTCGGCCCCGCCGTCGGTGGGAGCAGGCTTACCCCTGTGCTGTGGGGCCCGTTCCAGAGCACAGCGCAGACAGTTGAGAGCCCACCCACTTACTTCAGAGGGTAAGACCCTGCCAGCTGAAGCCAATGCAGCACCCAGACCGGACCGACAGTTACACACACATCGGGGATCGCATATAACATCAGGTCCAACGGCACCGGAAGGTGACTGCATTCAGACCCCATAGGATTTCTGCCAGGAATACACGGATGTTCGAAAATTTGTGACTACACGTCATATCAATAGGTAAAAAAAATATTTTTATTAACTTGGTAGCTGCATTTATGACGGGACAGTTGTAAGAACACAGGAAAAACCCCCCAGAAATATGCACGCCCTACTTACACTGATCGCGCCCGCAAGCTGGGGGCAGACAGGAGCGAGGAGAGGGGCTGGCTGCCCCTTCCTCCTTTACCCACTGCCCAACCGCTTGCATTTTTGGAGTATTTATTAACAGAAATAAGTATTTTTAAGTGCGAATTTTTATCAGTCATAAAGCTTAAAATCCTTAGTAGAACAGAAACAAAAGGCTGCCGTATCCCACACCAACGGCCAGCACCACACTTACACGGACCTAGCAGGGACCCCAGAAACGCGGGACGCCCAAGGGCACTGGGCACCGTGGCCAGTGAGGGAAACGGGCAGTGTAGGGAGATGTTGGAAAGGAGGGGGCAAACCGTGTGCCAAAACCAAACTTAAGCAGTTTAAAACCATCTGAATGAGAAAGGGCTCAGCAGCCCTTCTGCACGAGACAGTTTTCTATGCACCAGCATCAGCCACCAAGATGCCGCAGAACAACAAAGTATAAAATAAACTCCAAGTGTGTAAGCGGATAGGGAACGTTCAGGTCGTGGGGTAAGTGCCTCTCTTTTCCGGACTGGAAGCCCGTAGTGGCTTCACTTCTGTGCACAATGAACACAACCTTCACCACAACCTGCAACAGGTTCATTTGAGAACTTGCCGACCTGACTCAGAAGTCCGTGTGGCAGAATAAAGGCAGGAGAGTGGAGACGGCCCTGAAGCAAGAGCCTCTGGAGTGTCTGCCCCTCGGCTGTGGAAACAGTTGGAAGGAACAGCAGGTCACTTTGCGGCGCAGACGAGGCGCACACGTAAGGGAGGGTGGTCCGTGACAGAGCACTGGAAACCACCGGGAGGAACGGATTCTTCTGGAAGTGGCGCGCTGGTTGGCGGTCCACATTTGGGCCTAGCCTGCGCGTAACAATAATTAAATTAAAACAGTAATCCAAACTGTAGTTGCCAAAACGTACAAATTAAAACACTGCAAGAAGAAGCTGGATCTGCCCAAGGCAACAAGCCGCCAGAGCAGTTCCCACAGGACCCACCGATGGGGGTTCCATTATTTACAGCACGTGTGGCCCGACTGGGACCATCAGTGCACAATCGGGGGACAGAAGACAACGATACAACAGCCAGTGTGATGGGGTGGTTGGCGGTGTGGACGCAGGCGGGGGAGCGTCAGCAGTAAAAATCAAAAGCCTTAGGGAGCCTGGGTGGCTCAGTTGGTTAAGCGACTGCCTTCAGCTCAGGTCATGATCCTGGAGTCCCGGGATCGAGTCCCACATCGGGCTCCCTGCTCGGCAGGGAGTCTGCTTCTCCCTCGGACCCTCTTCCCTCTCGTGCTTTCTATCTCTCATTCTCTCTCTCAAATAAATAAATAAAATCTTTAAAAAAAAAATCAAAAGCCTTAAATACGTATATCCCTTTGATCCAGAAACCTGTTGGAAATGCATCCCAAAGAAATGATCCCAGGGGCACCTGGGTGGCTCAGTCGTTAAGCGTCTGCCTTCGGCTCAGGTCGTGATCCCAGAGTCCTGGGATCAAGCCCCGCGTCGGGCTCCCTGCTCCGCGGGAAGCCTGCTTCTCCCTCTCCCGCTCCCCCTGCATGTGTTCCCTCTCTCTCTGTCTCTCTCTGTCAAACAAATAAATAAAATCTTTTAAAAAAAAAAAAAAAAAGAAAGAACTGGTCCCAGAGCTGTGGGTTCCATTCGCTGCAGCACTAACTCTAACAGTGGTGTGAACACCTGTGTGTCCAACTTCGTGAACTAAGGACGTGGCGAGATCCTTTTTCTCATCTATTATTACAGTTTGCCTAAGGAAGAGCAATTTTAAGCAAATTATAAAGCAACATGATACGAATTTTTGATAAACACACACAAAGGAACAATACTGGCCTGACAGACGGCACAAGGCTCTATACACAGAAAGGGTCATGGTCATGACTCCGAGGGGCTGCTTACAGCTTGGGTTTTGTCTTCTCTTGACTGCCTGTTTTCGAACTTTTCGGTGCCATCATGTGTCACAGAACATAAAACATCTAAAGTAACTAAAGCAGACCACACAGAGTCTGTGCAAGGCGGAGAAGCTACGGCACGATAAAGTCATGTGCAGGCAAGCAGCCCGGGGCGCCCCATACTGGGGAGACAGGCTCACGGGGCAGAGGGCAGTCAGAGCGCATCCTCATGCCTGCGGGAAGAGAGCTGGGGCGGCGCTGCCTGCTCAGGCTCAGTGTGGGGGTGGGAGAGCTGTGCCCTGGGTCCACCAGGGTTGCAGGCCGGGGCGGGACCTGCCCAGAGGTTATCTATGAGCCATGGCTGCCAGAGGGCTGGGCCCCAGGCTGCAGAGAACCACTGCTCCTCAGGTTACCTCCCCGCCATCTGGTCAGTACTTGGGGTGCAGCTCAGCGGGTGTGGTGGGCCCAGGGGGAGCGGCACTGGAAGGCCCTTGGGAGGAGAGCCCTGGCTCTGGGGCCTCGCTTTGCTGCTGACCTGCTGTGTGTACCGCTGAGCTGGTCCTTGCTCCTTGCCCTCTCTGGGCTCTGGCCTCAGGTGCCCTGCCTGGCCCTGACGTTTGACCAGTGGAGAGGGCCCCCCTGGCAAGGGTGGTTGGGCCCTGGTACATCCCGCTGGCCCTTGCTGGGGCCCAGAGAGAAGGCTGGACAAAAGTGAAGGGGCCAAAACCGGAACAGAGCTATTGTGGTTTCTCCAGAGACAATGATCCCATGCGCTGCCTGGTCTCACCACCCTTCCTGCGGGCACATGGGTGAGCCACAAAGCCACAGGCAGCCCTGTGTTGTGCTGACCACCATGGTTGCCCTGGCCCTCCCAGCCACAGGGGCCCGGGGGGGTGGGGGCGACCGCTCCAGGGAGCATTGCCATCTCCACAGTGCTCCAGAGCAGACCCCAGGGCTCCTGCGCCCGTGGGGCTCTATGCCGTCTTCCTCCTGACAAGGCCAGGCTGCAGAAGAAGCACTGTGAGTGCGAACACCCAGTGAGTGCGAACACCCAGTGAGTGTGAACACCCAGTGAGTGAGAACACCCAGAGAGTGTGAACACGCAGTGAGAACACCCAGCGAGTGCGAACGCCCAGTGATTGAGAACACCCCAGTGAGTGTGAACACAGTGAGTGCGAACACTCCAGTGAGTGCAAATGCAGTGAGAACACCCCAGTGAGCGTGAACACCCAGTGTGAACACGCAGTGAGAACACTCCAGTGAGTGCGGACACCCAGTGAGTGCGAACACGCAGCGAGTGTGAACACCCAGTGAGTGTGAACACCCAGTGTGAACACGTAGTGAGAACACCCCAGCGAGCGTGAACACGCAGTGAGAACACCCCAGCGAGCGTGAACACCCAGCGAGTGTGAACACACAGTGAGAACACCCCAGTGAGAACACCCAGTGAGTGCAAACACCCCAGCGAGTGTGAACACCCACTGAGAGTGAACACCCAGTGTGAACACTCAGTGAGTGCAAAGACCCAGCAAATGTGAACACGCAGTGAGAACACCCCAGTGTGAACACCCAGCGAGTGTGAATATGCAGTGAGAACACCCCAGTGTGAACACCCAGTGACTGCAAACACCCAGTGAGTGCGAACACGCAGTGAATGCGAACACCCCAGTGAGTGTGAACACGCAGTGAGAACACCCCAGTGAGTGCGAACACCCCAGTGAGTGTGAACACTCAGTGAGTGCGAATACCCAGCGAGTGTGAACACCCCAGTGTGAACACCCCGCGAGTGCGAACACCCAGCGAGTGTGAACACCCAGCAAATGCGAACATGCAGCGAGTGTGAACACCACGTGTGAACACCCCAGTGAGTGCAAACACCCCGTGAGTGCGAACAACCCCAGTGAGTGTGAACACTGTGGCAGAGCTGAATGAACCAGGGCAAGCCGCATCAGGAAGGGCCATCCAGCTGCCGGAGGGTGGGGGGGTCCTCTCCCCATTTGCACCCCAGGCCCGGTTGGGCTTGGGTGGAGCTACAGCAGCTGGGGCGCTGAAGGGTTCAGAGGGCTCAGAGTTGGGCAGACCAGGGCTGTGGGTGGGGAGGTTCCCCCATCTGCCAAGGGACAAGGGACACCCCCAAAGACCTACCAGGTTTAGTCTAATCCCTGGCCTGGCCTTTGTGACACCCTGTCCCCAGAAGACAACTGGAGGTAGGGGTGGGGTGAAGCAGGCCTGTGTCCTTGGCCCTGCTGCTCCGAGCCGGGAACGTTCTCTCAGGGCAACTCAATGGGTCCTCAGCCACGCGATCTTCTGGCACTCACTGAGGGCTAACACATACTGCGCCCAGTGACAGCGCAGGGAACCTGGGTCCTGGCCAACTGCAACTTTGCAAGGAGCCGAGCACCTGAGCCTGCAGGACGCTGGGAGAGCAGCGGCAGGAGTGCAGGGCTGGCGGGGTTGGGGGGCGCTCACGGAGCAGGTGGCAGTGGGTGTGAACGGGGTGCAGGAATGTGGTGAGCGGAGGAGGTGCAGAAGCGGCTGCCAGGCAGTGGGGACAAGCTCTTGCTGCCAGAGCAGAAACGGCCACGGGCCTCCAAAGCCCAGTGGCCTGGGTGTGGCCACCGCAGCGGTGGGGGCTCCCCGCACAGAGAACAGATGCGACGAGGCTTCCGGGAGGGTCCGTGCCAAGAGCCCTGAAAGGGGAGACGTGCCACAGCGACGCCACCGGCAACGGCTACTGTCGCATTTCTGAGCACCATCCTGTCCAGGCGGGGACCCCCCCCCATGCATCACTCAAGCCACAGACCAAATCCCGTGTTCCAAACACCACGCCCTGGTATTCCTGCCCGTCAGCCACGCAGCAAGGCACACATCATGGTCTCCACTTTACAGGAGAGATGGAGGCTCGGTGATGCTCCCAGCTTGCCCAAGGCCACAGAGCCGGCAAGTGGGAGTAGCCCCGGTCTGCAGATGCCACAGCATGGGGCCTGTGCCCCCACCCTGCCTCTCCAGGGTGGTGGACGTGGGTGTCCCCGGCTACCCAGTGGACAGGCTGGAAGAGCAGCCTGGGCAGAGGAGAAAGGACACTGCCCGTCTGAAGAGAGTGGTCAGGACAGTGACAAAGCATAGTGCACGAGCCCGGGAAGCTGTTCCAGGCTCTACCCCAGCCTGCCTGTCAACCTCCAGGGAAAGCAGTCCCGTGACCCTGCCAGCTTTTAATGCCACCTGGAAGCTGGGGCCAGGTTTCCTGGCTCACTGTCTGGTCCTGGGGCTCTAAGCTGCCAACCCCGCTTCATCTCTTCCATCAAAGCCCAAAGAAAGGGGTTGTCCTGGAAAGGGAAGAGTGCCTGGTGGGCAGCTCAGGGGTGGTGTGGGCATGCAGGCCATGGCCCTGACTTCTGGACCTCCCAGGAGCAGGGCATCGGAGCTGGAGCCAGAGGGCCTTGAAGGACCGCTAGTCTACCAGACAGGGAGCCCCTATTCTGACAGATCCCAGGACACGGTGACAGCAAGGGGCCTGTAGTCAGAGGCCAGGTCTTCCATGACTCTGGCCAACAGCTAAGCCCCACCTGCAAAGTAGGGATAAAAGGATTCTCCTGTTACAAGGTCACAGTGAGGATTAAATGAGTGTCTGAAACCACCCACCACAGCGCCGGGCGCCCAGGACGGAGAGGCCCAATTCCTGGCAGAGGGATGTGGGCGTGGGGGGGGGGGGCACGTTCTCAAGTTCATGGCGGCCTGTGCTCGCGGATGCCCTTCCTCAGTTCCAGCTGGCGCACCCAGCCCAGGCGGGGGTCCCAGCCCCTGCCCCCGCCCCAGCTCCGAAGGGTGAACAGAAGCCACACTTACTTGAGGATGTCCTTCTTATTGAAGAAGGTGCAGTCCTGCAAAGGGAAAACACACACATAGTCCCTTACAAGTCCCTGGCTCCTTTTTCCCTGAGGACCTCACAGAAGACTCACTCCTGCCCCCCCGATCCTGCCCCCACCTGCCCATCACCCCGCCCGCACCCTGCCCCTGGCCAAGAGCCACTGCTTCCTGAAGCTTCTGACCTGGCCTGGGGACTGTGTGCATGGTGTTGGGGAGTGCATTTACAGGCAGATGGAGAGGTCAGAGGTGGATGCCACTGCGGACTGCCCTGCGGGACAAGGGCTGCAGGGGTGTGCCATCCACACTGCGCGCCGGGTGGCGCTGGGGGCTGTGTGTGCGGGTGGCTGTGCGCAGAGACAGAGAGCCCCAGGTCCACAGGCTGGGGAACACCTGCATCTACCCGGCTTCTGAAGCCACAGGCCCAGATGAGGTCACAAAGGGAGGCCATGGAGGCTGGGAGTGTGGGGCAGGCGGGCAGGGAGTGACTGGCGGCATCTGGCCAGAGGAAGGGCGGAGGCTGCTAGGGACCCTCAGGCAGGTGTTTCTCAGGGTGGGGGCAGCATGCAGGTCCTAAGGTCGCCCGGTCATAAACTCATCTCAGATGTCCTGCCCTTGTCTGGATGGCCCGCCTGGTGATGTGCCTGCAATGCCAGGCCACGGTGGGAAGTATGGAGGCGGAAAGATCCTGGCAGCGGAAGGCTTTAGTGCTCATCCCTGCTGTCTGGCCCCTCTGCCTTCGCCCACTGCAGCCCCATGAGAGCAGGCGGCGCTCTGCAGAGCCTGAGCCTCCTGGGGCAGTGTGCTGAGCAGGGCCGGCCCTGACGAGCACTCGCGGCTGCTGCCCTGGACGGGATCTGAAGCCACCGCACACCGGGGCAGCTGGACCGCACACTGAGAGAAGGTCCTCTCTCTGAACACCAACAAAGCTGCCATGAACGGGCTCATCAACGGATGGTTTGTTACAGCTGGACCGCACACTGAGGAGGGTCCCACCTGTGGGAGACCTGAGGAGGGGGAGCCGGGCCCATGTAGTCAGTCTGTCCTTCTGAGCCACATGCTGCTACCCAGGAGTTGGATTAAGAGCCCTCGCGTGGCCCTGGCCTTCTAGGAACCTAGGGGCTTCTCCTGGAGGGCTAGGCTTTGCTTTAGGCCATAGCTCCTCTGCCCCACCTCCCCCCCAGCATGGACAAGAGAACGCTCTGCCCTGCAGGCCTAAGACTCAGGTGGCAATTGTGTGGACTGATTTCCTCAAGTCCCCAGATCCCTGGAGCAGGCCCCAAAGGCAGCCCAGCTGAGTCTTCCCGGTACAGACCTCCCTCGGCCCCAGGGCTGGCTCTATGGCCTGAAGGTGCTCAGTGAGAAGGGCCAGGGTCTCCCACCCAGCCTGGTGGGGGTGTCAGCATTACCACCAATGGGGAGAGGCCCTGGCTTCTGCTCTCTGTCCCCCTGGCCTATCCTCGCTTCCTCTCCTCTCTCCTCTGCCCTGGGTTAAAAAGTATCTGGGTCCTGACCAAGGGTCCTACAAGCAAAGATGCAAAAGTTTCACATGACCCTCGTCCCTTATCAAAACCACTTACATCTGTCCACGTCAATGGTCCTCAAGGCGTGGTTCCTGGACGGGCAGCACCCGATTCTCAGGCTCCACTCCAGGCCTACTGCATCACAAACTCTGGGGGTGGGGGCCAGGAATCTGCATCTTTAGATCTGCCACCTCCAGTGATGCAGATGCTTGCTAAAGTGGGGGCCTCGGCTGTAGGGCAGAATCACCTGGGGAGCTGTTTAAACCTCCTGTGCCTTCTACCAGCAGCCCCAGCCCCAGCACGAAACAGATCCATTAAAGCAGAATCCCTGAGTCTGGAGCCAGGCATCAGAGTTTTCAAAGCTACTCTGATGATTGTGACGTACAGCCCAGGCTGAGAACCACACCTTGACCCGGCCTGGTCCGTGGGGGCTCTGATTATCCAATTTTGTTCAGTCCTCATCACTAGACTATGGAGGGGAGGGGCAGGCAGTATCTCCCCATTCTATAGATGGGAAAACTGAGGCTCAGTGACGCTGGTAGCTTGCTCTTAGCTGCATGTACAGCCCAGAAGGGCTGACTGCAAGCCAGGCCTCTGTGCTTCTTGACCATGGTCCGCTGGCTGTGAACAGAGTCCACCCGTGGGCACTACACATGACCACATCCTGCTGCTGTTGTGTATTGCGATACCTTGTACACCGCGCATGCTCAATATGCGCAGGTGGCACGAGGAACCAGGCCTCTGCACATAAACCTCCCACAGACCGAAGAAGGTGTCCGTGAAGACGCTGACCCTGCCTCACCTAATGTTTCTTCTCTGAGCACCAACAAAGCTGCCGTGAACCTGCTCATCAACTGATGGTTTGCTTTTTCTGCTGTTGACTTATTTGCATGGAGCTCATTGCAGAAAGGTAGCTCATGGGGGATGAATATGGCAGGAACCTTAAAAGCTTCTCAGGGTTCTGAGGAGCCTGCTGGTGTTTTGTAGTCACATTCCCAAATTCTTGTCTTGCTTTGGATCCTTAGGTGGAGACAGAAGAGGGGAGTCCCCAGGTGAGTTACGGGCTTGCTCGTAGCTGAAAGTGTGGGCTGCCTGAGCACGAGCAGAGTAGGGCCAGAGCAGCAGTGGTGGGTTCTGGGGAAGGCAGGGAGCCCTGCTTTGCAGACGGAGGGGTCTGGGAGGTGGATCGATTGATCAGGAAGGCAGAGAAGTCTGGAGAGAAACCTGAACTTGGGAACCACTGGCACCTGTGGAGGGGGGAGGAGGAAAGGGGAGGAGGCTGTAACCGGGGGCCTGGCTGGCAAGGTGCTGGCTGGACAGCAGAGGGAGGGGGACTGGGGCTCTCAGGTTTCCTGTGGATGGGGGGGGCGGTAGGTGGCTGTAACTGGGGCCCTGACTGGCTGGACAGCAAAGGGAGGGGGACTGGGGCTCTCAGGTCTCTTCAGCTCTCATTTCTCCCAGTCTGCCTGGCTCTGGCAGGAGGATCACAACCCAACCCTGGGCTTGGCCCCGAAGTGTAACCCAATGCCGGGCTGGTCTGAGTGGAAACCCAGGCTCCCAGCCCCACAGGGCCACTCTTCACTTCTGAGCATGGTCTACCTGCTTGCCTGTGCCCACGTGGTCCCCTGCCCCTGGAATGCCTCCTTCTGGGCCTGCTCGAGCAGGCCCATCTTTGCACTATCTTTGATCCTTGCAAAGCAAAAGCCCCCCTTCCCTCCTGGTGTTCCCCGGCCCACTAGGGCCCTCCCCTAGAGCACACCACACTGGCGGCCTCTCAGAAGGCTGGCCGGCCTCCAAGACCAAGAGCACACACAGGCCGTGCCCCTAAACAAACACAGAGAGCCTTGGGCTTGAGCCCTGACTGGCGCCTCAGCCTTTGTTTACTCCTCCGTGAAATGGGGCTGAAAACCACCCCACTGTGAGGGCCCCCGTTCCAGAGCCTGGGACCACAGCAGGTGCCCCATGACTGTGGCTCCCTGCACCTTCTCAAGGCCTCACGTGGAGCTGACAACTATTAATGACAGTCAGGGTTTCTGAGAAGGGGCCTTTATTTTACCTCTGCCCACATCAGAGGGCTCCCACGTCCAGCCCATTACCAAAATAACTATTGGTGAAGGCAGCAGGCAGCCTCGTGGTTCCCACAGCACACTCCACAGGGACCACAGCACAATCAGGGCCCCCTGCCCAGGGGAGTGGGGTGACAGGCATCACCTCGGGCCTTGGAGACCGAAGAACGTCGCGGTTGCTGTAGACAGTCGGGGGTGGCTACAGTGTACAGGGCAGGGAAGGGGCCTAGGAGGCTGGCCAGGGCCCCCGCGGGCCAGGGCTTGGGGCTTCATCCTGCACCCGCGCCCTGCACCCACTGGCGGGAGGGCTTTGGACCTCTGGTCTGGACAGTTTCGTGGCTCTGGAGGCAGGAGGTCCTAGAAGGGTCTTAGGGGGTAGCTGCTGGGGGACTCGGGGACCAGGAGATGTGGATTGGTCTCTGGCCTCCTCCTTGCTCCAAGTATTTCCATGCTGGGGCCAGAGGGAGAGACCCCTACGGATAAACAAGACACCCCCAATTTAGAACTGCATTTGGGGATGCACCTCACTCCCGACCCAGACAGAACCCCACTCCCCTGGGCTGCTTCCTGGGATAGGGGACCCCCTTCAAGCCGGCGTTTAATGACCCGCCAACTGCGTGCCAAGGTGGGCGCTGGGGCAGGTGGCTGGGGAGGGGGTCGCGTCCAGCCTGGGGCCGAGAGCAAGGAAGCTGAAGGCGGGCGAGGCGCGCCGGCGAGTATCTCCCCACTGGAAAGCGCTCTCGACGCAAGGGTGGGGAAACTGAGGCCCAAGGTCACGCTTCGAGCTGAAGGCAGGGGCAGGGTCTGCAGCCGGCACGCGGCGCGGAAAGCATGGGAGGGCGGGCGCCGGCTCACCTGGTAGTTGTCCAGCTGCTCCTCCGTGAAGATGGTCTGTTTGTTGCCCATGGCGGCCGTCGCCGGGGCGCCGGAGCCCGAGCTCGCGGCCACCCGGACCCGCCCCGCAGCCCCGCGGCCACCAGGAGGCGGGAGCGCGACCGGGAGTCGGGCGGGGGGAGGCCGCGCGACCCCGCCCCGAGGTGCGGCGTGCCCACCCCGTCAGGGACCGCCCCTTCCCGCCGCGGGAGGTGCTGCCCGGCCTCTTCCCTCCCCCGGCCGGGCGGGACCGGGACTTCCGGCCGCATGGTGCCAGGACCACCAGGTGGGCGGGGCCAGGACCTCAGGACGGGAGGAGCCAAGACTTCCGGCCGGGCGGGGCCTGGACCACCAGCGGGGCGGGGCCAGGACATCAGGCCGGGAGGGGCCAAGACTTCCGGCCGGGCGGGGCCTGGACCACCAGCGGGGCGGGGCCAGGACATCAGGCCGGGAGGGGCCAAGACGGCCGGGCGGGGCCTGGACCACCAGCGGGGCGGGGCCAGGACCTCAGGCCGGGAGGGGCCAAGACTTCCGGCCGGGCGGGGCCTGGACCACCAGGTGGGCGGGGCCTGGACCACTAGCGGAGCGGGGCCAGGACCTCAGACCGGGAGGAGCCAAGACTTCCGGCCGGGGGGCCTGGACCACCAGCCCCGCGAGGCCGGGGTCTTGAGCCGGCGGAGGCCAGGACGTCTGGCCGGGCGGGGCCAAGGCTAATAGTGGGCGTGGCCGGGACCCCGGCTGGGCGGGGCCAAGACTTCCGGCCGGGCGACCCGGAAGACTCCGCGGCGCAGGGATAGGGAGCAGTAGCCCTGGCGCCCCTTCACCGGGCGGGGGGCGTCCGCGAGACGAGCCCTGGACTGAGTACCGGCATCCAGGTCTCGCGGCGCGACCCAGGGCCGGCCCTCCGGGGCACAGGAGGGGTCAGTGAGCTGGAGACCCACCCAGCCTCTGGCCACTGCCTGGGCAGGGCATCTTGGGCCCTCCGGGTCTCTTAGAGAGGCGGCAGGATTGGCTAGCCTTTCTTTGCATCCCTGGGTACACACGTGGGGCTGGGGACGATTTACAGGACTTACGGTGTCCAGAGAAGTGGGACAAAGGCCAGGAAGTTTTCTGGGACTTTAAGCAAATGCCAGAGGCCAAAGCAAATAAGAGTCGCTGCTAAGTCCTTTCAGAGGTCCAGCCCATACATGTGTTATTGCTAACCCGGACAGCTGATTCTACTGGTGTTCTCCGCATTGTACTGGTGAGCAAACAGGCTGAGCCGTTCGGTAACTCGCCCCGGGTCCCACCGCTGGCAAGTGGCAGGACCTGGGCTGTGCTGCACCTGGACTTCCATGAGCTCAGGACGTTACGCTTTAAAACAGGTGGTTTGTTTCTTTAACCACTTGGGAGGCTCCACTCCCAGGGCTTCTGATTTAGTAGGTTTGGGGTGGCCCAGAATGTGGGGGGCTAACAAGGTCCCAGGTGCTGCTGTGCTGCTGGCCCTGGACGCCACTTTGAGAATCACTGCTGGAGGTTAGGGATTCCGATGGGAGCACGGGTCCCTCCCTCTTTGACAGAGAATCCCTGGTGTTTTTACATTTTCCTTTTATACCTGAGGTTCCTGTTTGGGGTTTCTCAACATCTTGCCACCTTCAGGTGAGAACAGCAGCCATGGGCTAAGCAGACAAGCCGCCCTGTCAAATCCCAAGAGTCATCAGAGGCATAATCCGTTGCAATGAGAAGGGCGGGAAGCAATTCAGAAGCCAGGGGATTGCTGACCAGCCTTCACGTGTATTGGACACGTGTGATGGCCTCCATAGTGGAAAGGTTGCAGGCTATGTGAGCAGAAATTCAGAGAAGGTGACATCTGAGAGCCCCGAGCGTGTGAGAGATTCTCTCCGATGTTAGAGCTGGGGAGACTGGAGCCCTCTCAGACTAATCACCGGTACAGGTTTTCCTTCTTGCTCTTGAAATGCACATTTCCTGGGAGCCGGCCAGAATTCTGTGTTCAGATTCGGCTCCCACCATGTGTTCAGGTAGAGAAACCAGCACCTCTGCAGAGGACTGTGATTTCAGTTCTGGGATTCCATCCTCATGGGAGATAAGTAGAAGCAGCCCACCTGAAAATTCCCTTAAAACCTTTGCGATCACTATCCATTGCCCTAGAGGAAGCCCTCCCTCCTGAACTATTAAAACAGTGCCATGAGGAGGGGCAAGTTACATCCCATGTTGCAGTTGAGAGACCATGGGCTCGGAGAGGCAGTGACCTGCCCGATGCCACCCAGCTAGGAAGATGCAGCAGGAAGTTCTCACCTCATTCTCTGACTCCAAACCATGTGCTTCCACTGCTCCCAGACATGTGTTTGTTTGAAGGGAGGGTGGACAGAGGGAGAAGTAACATTGGTCACCTACTCTGTGCCCAGGATTGTGCTGGACGCTTTACATTTACCAAATACGATTATTCCATGAACGCCTCTTAAGTGTGTAGGGTTGGCATTATTACCCATTTCACGGATGAAGAAATAGTCTCTCTGCTGGCAATGGGTAGATTTAAGACTTGATCCCACTAAGATGGGAGCACGTGGTTAGCATCCTTTAAAGGGGGCCAACTCCTAGTCAACTGCAGTCTTGTAAATGATACAAAACGAGAAGGTAGTGCTGAGAAGTCACTGAGGATCCCACAGTGGTGCCTGACACTTTGTGAGCACTCACTAAACATTAGCTTTTTTATTTTTGACTCAGTCCATAAAGTTTATTTTAAAATTTGGAAGGAAAACGGAAGGGAGGGATCAATGCTACGGAAAGCCCAAGGAGTGAGCTTGATAGGAGGTAAAGGGTCTGAGTGAATACAATAAAACGTTAATCTCTTTCCTTCTTTCCCGTCCTTCCTCCTTGACTAGCGCTATTCTTTGTGACGAAATGTCCTTGATCTGCAAGAAGTTCTTCCCAAGACTTAGAGTCTGAGGGGATCTTTATGGTGGAGATGGAGTGTCCTGGGCCCGAGGCCAGGGTGGGACATCTATGCTCCTCGCGGACCTGTCCTTTGTCCTTTGCTGCCCTCTCTCTAGTGACTTTTATCAGCCTCAGGGTCCCTCCTGGAATGTCCTACCTTATCTTGACTCTTCTCGATCTTAGGGGCAATCCAAACCTCATTCCGCCCTGAAGTCTTATCTCTGCTCCCAAAGCACTGGTCATCTTGGCCTCTCCCCTAATAGCTGCTGGTATAATCTGTGAGCAGTTACTGGGTCCCCTGCAACCGCCCACTACATCTCCATCCCTAGCACTGGACAGTCTGTCTGCTCATTTTCCTGTAATCTCCAGCATTTTATACACCGATCTTCATATTTGGGGATGAGTGAACATACCGTCTGGGGCTATCTCTTTTGAAGGAAGCAGGTGTTATTTCCTCTAAACGCTAGGGCTCAGGAGGGCGCACCACATACTATTGGGCTCTATCCCCAGGGTCTAGGACAAGGTCTTAGTAAACACTAATCAACATTTCTTAAAAGAATACATTTTCTGGGCTTGTTCACACGTTGAATCAAGTCACTGCTGCTGGAGGGTCAAGTGACCAAGCCCTTTAGTAGAGCAAAAAAGGTGAGCCCACCTTCTCCCTGAGTGGCCCCTGTGGGCCTGTTCTGGGCCCTCCCCCAAAAGCCATTCTGGATGTACCAAGTTCCCGGGTGGCCTAGAATGGGACCAAGCCAATGGGGATGGTCCTGTTGTTGAGGAGGCTCAGCTTCCCCTGCAAACTGTCCCATCCACCCTTTCAGGTGCCTTTAAAATCCTCGGAGGCGTGACCCCCTCCTTCCCTCACCGCATACTCACCCACCAGCACAGGCTGCTCTAGCCAGAGTCCCCCTGCCTCTAGCACTGTATCCCCATCAAGTGAATACAGTAAGGGGGCCCAAGCCCCCTCACCTCTCCTGGATCACTGTGGGATGTCTGTCATGAAATGACCAAGGCAGGTCATTCACCACTGGGTTCAATTTTGCTGTAGATCTGAGTCATCTCCAGTGGTGAGTGGTAGATGCACAAATCTTGCTATTGGGGTGGGGGGGCATTGCAAACAGACTGGACTCTGGGCCATGGACCATCACTTATTAGCAAGGAGGCCCTCCGCAGTCACAGAACCTGCTCTGTGAGCACATGGAGGGCTGAAGACCTGTCCTTTTAGGTGTTGTCACAAACTTCCTTGTTCAAAGATTTAGTCCAAAGCAGAAGCAACAATATTTGAGGAACGAGATCCAGCCAGCCTTCAATTCGGGATCAGATGATGGCGTCCTCAGCAGCTTGAACCTGAGGCCAGACGGACATCTAAGACCCAGGGCCCACCGAGCCTCGTGCGCTGTCTGTGCGAGAGCAGAGGCCCTTGGGCAGCACCTCATGTATGGGAACTCCGCTGTTGCAGCATCCGTGTGCTCACGAGCAGATCCCCTCCTGCCCAGGTGCTCTCATGCTGTGGAGGCATTGGAGGAAGACCCTCTGGAGTGTGGGCTTCTGCGGAAAGTCCTCACTGCCTCAGGCAGCCCTTCTCCAAGCACGGTCCCCGGGACCGTTTCAGAGGGTCTGTGAGGTCCACAGTATTATCTCCATAATAGAAAATTCTCACGAGTGCAGAGTGGAGTCCCCAGGACTGACAGTCTTCTTTTTTTTTTTTAAGTTTTTATTTATTTATTTATTTGAGAGAGAGAGAGAATGAGAGATAGAAAGCACGAGAGGGAAGAGGGTCAGAGGGAGAAGCAGACTCCCCGCCGAGCAGGAAGCCCGATGCGGGACTCGATCCCGGGACTCCAGGACCATGACCCGAGCCGAAGGCAGTCGCTTAACCAACTGAGCCACCCAGGCGCCCGACACTCTTCTCACTAAATGTTTATTGTCTTTGAAAATATTCTTTTTCGTAAAAATACTTGAACTAAGCTAACATATAATGGTGTTATTGTTATTTATTTAAAACACATTTTAATACAGCCATAGGGGTCATTTGCAATTTTAACTTAGGTCTAAACATGAATAATCTGTATTAACAAAGTTCGGGGCCTCAAATTTTAAGAGTGAGAAATAGTCTTGAGACCAAAATGTCT